GGTTCGTAACGCCTTGCTGTGTAAGCCCGTGGGTTTCGTAACACCCTTTCTGTGTAAGCCCTGGTTTCGTAACACCTTTCTGGGTAAGGCCCGTGGTTTCGTAACACCTTTTTGGGGTTTTAACCGTGTTCGTAAAACCTTGTGGGTAAGCCATGGTTACGTAACTCCCTTTCTGGGTAAGCCAGTGGTTACGTAACACCTTGCTGTGTAAGCCCGTGGTTACGTAACACCTTGCTGTGTAAGCCAGTGGTTACGTAAAAACCTTGCTGGGTTTAAGCCGTGGGGACGTAACACCTTGCTGTGTAAGCCAGTGGTTACTAAAACACCTTGCTGGGTAAAACCCCGTGGTTTCAACGCCTTGCGGGTAAGCCATGGTAGTAACACCTTGCGGGTAAGCAGTGGTTTTCGTAACACCTTGTGGGGAAGCCATGGTTACGTAACACCTTGCTGGGTAAGCCAGTGGGTGCGTAACACCTTGCTGGGTAAGCAGTGTTTTCGTAACACCTTCTTGGTAAGCCAGTGGGTTTCGTAACACCTTGGGGTAAGCCAGTGGCCGTAAAAACCTTGCTGGGTAAGCCAGTGGTTACGTAACACCTTGCTGGGTAAGCCAGTGGTTTTCTAACACCTTGCTGGGTAAGGGTGGGTCCGTGGAAACCGGGAAACACCTTGTGGGTAAGCCAGTGTTACGTAACACCTTGCTGGGGGGGGGGGGGGGGGGGGAAAAGGGGGGGGTAAGCCCGTGGTTACGAAACCTTGCTTGGTAAGCCCGTGGTTACGAAACCCTTGGGGTAAGCCAGTGGTTACGAAACACCTTTTTGGTAAGCCAGTGGTTACGTAACCCTTGCGGGTAAGCCAGTGGTTAGTAACCCCTTTTCTGGGTAAGCCAGTGGTTAGAAAACACCTTGTTCCTTTTTTTCTGGGTAAGCCAGTGGTACGAAAACCTTGCTGGGTAACCCAGTGGTTACGAACCCTTGGGGAAAGCCAGGGTTAGTAACACCTTGCTGGGTAACCCCAGTGGTTACGTAACCCCTTTGGGTAACCCAGGGGGCCCCCCCAGGGTTACGTAACACTGAAGCAATAGTGTATATAGGTCCCGTACATATATACAGAGGGATGTATGTTTCTCGGTGTAATTTCTCGGTTTTACTTAAACCCACATTTAAGGTTTTAAAATTTATTGATAGTGAGGTTAGGTTTTGATCTAGTATTGTATTTTTTTTTAAAAAAGAAATATAATCTGGCACTCGTGCATTTCTTGGACCGAATTTCTTAAATTTCCTTTAAAAAGAAGTGTAAATTCCACTAGCACGAAACACTCGGTTTTTTTGAGAAAGCATATTGACGAGTATTGGGCCCTTGGGGGGCCCGTGATTTCCCCCTGTCCCCTAGAAATCATAAAGGGGGAACTGAGTGCCCTTAAAATGCAACATCGTGCTTTGCATGTTGGGTCGACACAGCACAGGTTACGACCAGTAGCGGGGGGGGGGGGGGGAAAGGGTGATGGGAGATGCCACATCGAAAGTTTGAAGCGGAGCAAAACCCTACAAACCCAAACAGCATGAATAAAAAGGGGGATGATCGGTCCAATGTTGAACCATTAAGTTCGTCAGCATCTTTCAAATACGGTAGCCGTGATGCCACGGACTTTTCAGATACTGTTATGTCAGCGTAGTTTGAACCTTGCTGTGAGGCTGCCCCTGCCGTGAGGTTGGATCGAGCAAGGAAGTACCCTGGCATTCACTCACGTACCCTGAGTCACGACAAAGGCAGTACTCACCTAATTGTGGTTGCAGGGGTCGAGACTCAGCTCCTGGCCCTGCCTCTTCACTGATCGCTACTAGATTCTCTCACTCCCTCCTCCAGAGTTTATATACCTCATCTTAAGACTATATATGGTTCCTGTCACCACTTCATCAGTTGCTATACTATTCCACTTCCTAACTATTCTAGGACTGAAAAAATACTTCCTAACATACCATTGACTTAACTGAGTCTTCAGCTTCCAATTGTGACCCCTTATTTCTGTGTCCCCTCTCTGGAACATCCTGTCTCTGTCCACCTTATCTATTCCATGCAGTATTTTATATCTGGTTATCATGTCTCCCTTAACCCTCCTGTCCTCCAGTGTCGTCAGGCCGGTTTCCCACAACCTCTGGAACTAGCATTGTTGCAAACCTTTGCACTTTCTCTAATTTCTTGACGTGCTTGACTAGATGTGGGTTCCAAACAGGTGCTTCATACTCCAGTATGGGCCTGACGTACACGGTGTACAGTATCTTGAACGATTGCTTACTAAGTATCGGAATGCTATTCTCAGGTTTGCCAGACGCCCATATGCTGCAGCAGTTATCTGTTTGATGTGTGCTTCCGGAGACATGCTCGGTGTTATACTCTCCCCAAGATCTTTCTCTTTGAGCGAGGTTTGTAATCTTTGGCCACCTAGCCTATACTCCGTCTGCAGTCTTCTTTGCCCTTCCCTGATGTTCATGACTTTGCATTTGGCGGGGTTAAATTCGAGTAGCCAGTTACTGGACCACGTGTCCAGCCTGGCCAGGTTACTTTGTAGTCCTGCCTGATCCTCATCTGATTTGATTCTTCTCATTAGCTTCATATCGTCTGCAAACAGGGACACTTCTGAGTCTATCCCTTCCGTCGTGTCATTCACATATACCTAGAACAACACTGGTCCTAGGACTGACCCCTGTGGGACCCCACTCGTAACAGGTGCCCACTGTGATACTTCACTTACCATGACTCGTTGTTGCCTCCTTGTCAGGTATTCTCTGATCTATTGCAGTGCCCTTCTTGTTATATGTGCCTGATCCTCTAGCTTCTGCACTAATCTCTTGTGGGGAACTGTGTCGGTGGCCTTCTTGCAGTCAAAAAAAATGAAGTCAACCCACCCCTCTCATGTCTTCTGTTACCTTGTCATAAATCTCCAGTAGGTTCGTGACACAGGATTTGGTTTCCATTAATCCATGCTGGTTGTCGTTTATAATCTTGTTCTGTTCCAGGTGCTCCACCACTCTTCTCCTGATAATCTACTCTGTGACTTTGCATACTATACACGTCAGTGACACTGTTCTATAGTTTAATGCCTCGTTTCTGTCTCTTAAAAATGGAAACTACATTTTTGCAGTCTTCCATACCTCAGGCAGTTGCCCAGTTTCAAGGGATGTGTTGAAGGTTGTGGTTAGTGGCACAGCGTTTCTGCTCCCTCTTGAAGGACCCACGGGGAGATGTCTGGTCCTCTCGTCTTTGAGGTTTCAAGGTCATTTAATAGCTTCTTCACCTCTTCCTCAGTTGTGTGTATGTCATCCAATACTTGTTGGTATATTCTTTGTTGGTGTTCCCATCTGTGCTGTCCCCCCAGAGTCCTTCCTGTCTCCACCGTAAATACTTCCTTAAATCTCGTGTTGAGCTCCTCACATACTTCTTGATCGTTTCTGGTGAGCTCCCCACCTTCTCTCCTCAGCCTGATCACCTGGTCTTTGACTGTTGTCGTCCTCCTAATGTGGCTATACAGCAGTTTCGGGTCAGACTTGACTTTCGATGCTATATTGTTTTCGTACTGTCGCTGGGCCTCCCTCCAGTATTGCTGAGGCATTGAAAAAAACATGATGAAGATGTGGTATACACAGATTTTTAAAATGAATTTGACAAAGGTGATCTTGGAGTGTTTACACATAACAGCATAATGGGCGAAGGTAGGAAAATAGATAATCGACTTTCTGACATATAGAACACTAGTAATAAACAATGTTAAATCTAACATTAACAGAAGTAAATGGCCAGTACCACAAGGCCGATCCTGGTGCCTTTATTATTTATCATGTTAATAGCAGATATAGATTTCATTATTTGCGAATGATTTCAACATAAAAATTAAAATCCCCTCAGTTGAAGACAGAAAAATTGCATTATTGTTATCAAAACTAAGCGCTAAACCCACCAGGGTCATGCACCGCTGCACAAGAAGATATAAGCAGTGTCTTCCAGTGGGCAGTGGAGAATAACATGACGTTTATTAGTGTTAAGTTCCAACTTAAAGTGTCTGTGTTTACACAGTGCAAGAGAATCACCAAATATAACCAGAGGAACATGTGAAAGACCTGGAAGTAATAATGTCAACCTGTCTATGTTTTAAAGAATACAGTAAGACAAATATCACAACAGGAGTGTTCAGTGTTGACGACCCAGTTCCAGGTAGGGGAGACATTATCGCTGGAATAGATACAGAGATCATGTATGGTCCACACTGAGCCAGTGAAACATTTAAATTACTGGGGATGTTCTATGTGTGTAGTCATTGGTGCGAGGGGAGAGATACATAATATACTGGTATACATGGAACATACTCGAGGGCCTGGTCCCAGATCTGCACACTGCCATAACAACATACTGGAGTGAGAGATATGGCACGAAGTATAAAATAAACCCAGTGAGGAGCAGAAGCACCGTGAGCACAATAAGAGAACACTGTATCAACATCCGTGACGGTTCAACATTTTACCAGAAGATATCAGAAACACTGCTGGAACAAGTGTAGTGGTCTTCAAGAGTCAACTGGACAAATACTTAAACCAAATGCCAAATCAACCTGGCTGTGAAGGATATGTAAGCCAGCGTGCCGCCAACAGCAACAGCTTGGTTGACCAGGAGGAAAGATCCAGACAAGCCTGGCCCAGGGCCAGGTTGCAAGTAGGAAAACTCTCGAAATCCTTCAAGGTAAAGATATATCCTACACATCCCTCACGCACGGAGGGTGAATTTGAGACTGTTGTGGTTGTGGCAGGGAGAGGTGGGTTGTGGGTGGGGGATGGGAGTGGTGGGTTGTGGTGGAGGCAGGAGAGGTGGGTTGTGGGTGGGGGATGGGAGTGGTGGGTTGTGGTGGAGGCAGGAGAGGTGGGGGATGGGAGTGGTGGGTTGTGGTGGAGGAAGGGATCCCAGCAAGTGGTTTATTAAGGGTGGGCAGGGCCGTAGTGCAGACAGTGTAGTGGTTGAGTTCCCAGTGTGTGTTAGTGGGGTAGGAAGGTACTGGCCTGCGCTGCCCGCAGTTGTAGGTACCCTGCGCTGCCCGCAGTTGTAGGTACCCTGCTGCTGCCTGCGCACACACGTTAACCCCAATGCAACTCTCGTACAATAACAGTGGTGGTGGTGTGAATTCAGTGATCCATGCAGATGTCAGAGAGTGATCCTCTCTCATTCTTCAACGATCCCTAAAATAACCTCCAGTGAAAATAAGTAACTTTTGACTTTAATGGATAATTTACACATAAGTTACTACAAGACAATCATAAGCATTTAAATTTGTGCAAAAAAAAAACGAATATTTAGCCACGTAAAGATATTTTACAAGCTCGTTATTGTGCTTGTGCGTAATGTGATTGTTGTGTGGAAACAAGGAACATGTGTAAGACAAGAAACAAAGTGATATGACCTCTCTCAAGGTTCTGTGAAGAACATAAAGGCACAATACCTTGACTGGAACATTACACAAATAACTCGCTGTCTGTGGCTACTGTATGATCCAGGTCGCCATAAGTTGTTCCTCCTGTGTGCCGGTCATTTGTGTGTTGTGTTAGCTATGGAAAACAACGTTTTTAAGTGTTTTGATATTTTTGAGGCTAGACTTGTAGCACATGGGAAGCTAAGATAGCAGAGGACTCCACACCAAGGCTATTTCCTGGGAATTATCTACACCTATCTAGAATAAGGACTATGTGGGAGTACAGTGTTTGGCTCACTAAGAGCGCTATAACTTCAATGTTTAGTTCACTGGGAGTTTTGTCAGTCCAGTGATTGGAATGTCAAAATTTCTAGTTAGAGCAGCATGACCTAGTTAGCACAGCATGTGCTAATTACATAGGTACAAATATTATGATAATCCAGCCATGCTGTGTGCCCTTGTGTTGTTTACGTTGTATGTGTTGTGTACCCTTGTGCTGTTTACGTTGTATGTGTGTTTGTGTTGACAAGTTTTGTGTTGTGTATAAGACACGTATGCAACACTTGGGTATAATTATTTCCGAGACGTTTCATCTGCGAAGCAGCTTCTTCAGTCGACTGCAAACGCACTTAATATAACGAAGACAGTTTCGAGGCGTTCAGTCTATCATTCTTGATGAATCTAAAGTAGATGGATGAGAATGAGGACTTGTATACTGGAGACTGGTAAGAGGAAGGAGTTTGGAGGCGGCCTCACAGGTGGGCGGGGCCCACTGATGGAAGTAGGTCATGTTATTAGGTCAGACAAACATTACAGTTGTAGGAGAATTCTCTGTACTATGATTCCAATATGTTGTGTCATACAAGTTTTATATTTTAATGGTGTACAAAGTCAGAGTTGATGGATCAGAAACATATATAATACCTGGGTATCTTTCGTCAGTGGAAGACGTGCAGTAGTATCAAGGTGATCAGTCCCCAAGCCTCGATCAATGTGTGTGGACTGAACACTGGTTGGTCTTTTATTGTATGTCAAGTTGATAAACAAGACACAAGTACAACACCCTAGTGTTCATTTTCCTGCCACTCCTTGGTCATGGCTTAGGAACTGAGCACCTATCAAGGCTGAGGGACTGATTACCTCATCTTCCACTGTTTCCACTATGTAATCTCTATATTGAACTGAAAAAAAACACCGGTTGACAAAAGATCTTCATAATAAAGAGGTGTTCCGTGGCTCGGTTGGTAACGCACTCAGCTCACACACTGAGTATTCATGGTTCGATCCCCGGCAGGAGTGGAAACGTTGGCCATGTTTCCTTAGACCTGCTGTCCCTGTTGACCTAGTAGTAAGTAGGTACCTGGGTGCTAGTCGACTGTTGAGAGCGGCATTCCAGTGGCTGTAGAATACCTTACGTAAGACTAGGTTTTAATGTAAGATAACAGCTCTTAGCCTGTAAAATTGTATGTTTATCAATATATCGGTATTATTTACTAATAATGATAGTTTATCAACTTTTCTCCAGTGCTAGAGATGTGGTTATATCCAGCGTAACTTTGTTTCGTGCGCACGAGTTTCCTGTTTGTTGTGGGTTTATAGGGCCACTACAGTTTAGGTCGTATTGAACCCTGCCTCCCTGGAGTCCGGCAGAAATATATCGCTACTATCCGATATGAAGTTAGAAAGGAAACCTATGGTAAAAATCAGGTGTGTGACACCGACGAGTTGAGAAAATGACACGTGTTGACTCCTTTATAGGAGTGAACATGTGCAACACTCCTTTATAGGAGTGAACACGTGCAACACTCCTTTATAGGAGTGAACATATGCAACACTCCTTTATAGGAGTGAACATGTGCAACACTCCTTTATAGGAGTGAACATATGCAACACTCCTTTATAGGAGTGAACATGTGCAACACTCCTTTATAGGAGTGAACATGTGCAACACTCCTTTATAGGAGTGAACATGTGCAACACTCCTTTATAGGAGTGAACATGTGCAACACTCCTTTATAGGAGTGAACATGTGCAACACTCCTTTATAGGAGTGAACATGTGCAACACTACGGGAGTGAACAAGGTCCCAGAAGCTAAACATTTCCTGATAAATGTTTACACACGTCATCTCCTCAATGTTAACAGAGTTGTGTTGAGAGACGAGAAGGAGACAACGTCTTCCCAGTTAGTTCAGGTGGACTTACTTACTCTTACTCAAGTAAGTGTAAAGGAACCACGACTCTTCAAAACCTATTCATATATAAGGAACTCAAAAAATTGCTCTAATTTATAATCAGCTGGGCTGTAGTGCATACACTAGACTGCAGGCGACGGGCATTAATAACCTGATGGATCAGTCTAGGAGTCAGGATGCTTGGTGAAGCACCGACCCGCAGGGGGCAGTGACCCGCGGAAACTACGACAAGTAACCAACAACACCAACAAGTTGATACATTAGATGCACATGCAACACGTGGGTGTCTCTATTGACCAGTTATCTCACCTGCGCGGCAGACTTCTACAGTCGAATACATTATTCGCAGTATTGAGGTGATCAGTCATCCAGCCTTGATATATAGTCTTGACAGTTCTCCCGGAACTTCTCAACACAGACGATATATGGTGGTGTTAAAGTTAGTTTAATATCCCTATTATACATCCCATCGGGAGGCCTGGTCGTGGACCGGGCCGCGGGGGCGTTGATCCCCGGAATAACCTCCAGGTAACCCTCCAGGTACCCATCCTGTGGGTGGTAGTCAAAAGATTACAGAGGTAAGATAAGATAAGATAAGATTTCGTTCGGATTTTTAACCCCGGAGGGTTAGCCATCCAGGATAACCCAAGAAAGTCAGTGCGTCATCGAGGACTGTCTAACTTATTTCCATTGTGGTCCTTAATCTTGTCCCCCAGGATGCCACCCACACCAGTCGACTAACACCCAGGTACCTATTTGCTGCTAGGTGAACAGGACAACAGGTGTAAGGAAACGTGTCGAAATGTTTCTACCCGCCGGGAATCGAACCCGGGCCCTCCGTGTGTGAAGCGGGAGCTTTTAGCCACCAGGCCACCGGGCCACATAATGGGTCCAGGAACTGCGTCCCAATGTTTTAATATCTTAGCAAATTATAGTGTACTTTAAATGTGGTTTATATTAGCTGGTGAAATGTAAAGTCAGAGGGAGGGTAGTGCCCCGCCTGAGGTATGCTGTGAGGTCACTGTGTCATCTGCACGGATATAACACTGACGTGGCCATAAGAGGCACACTCTTTACAAGAGTTCCCCTCCTACACCTCCTCCTCCCACTCCTATCCCCCTCCATCCCCCCTTCCCCTCCATCCTTCCTCCCCCTGTGCTATTTCCCGCCCTCTCAGAAGCAGGTGACTCACACTGGTCTTGAGACCAGGTTCCCCCACCCTCGGGTTGTCACAAGGTGAGTCATATTGGTCTCAAGACCAGGCCTTTCACCAGAAGGTGAGAGGCCTGGTCTTGAGACCAGGTGTCCCCAACACACAATTCACTACCATGATAACCTCGAGTTTGTGCAATTACTAAAAGGCCATACTCAGTATTTCTGGCCTATGGCCATTTAAATACTGTCTTCAGACATATTTCATATATTTATTTTGCTGCCTGAGTGGCTAGTTTATTGTGTACCTCATATCCATCCTGTGGATGGTAGTGGCTAGTTTATTGTGTACCTCATATCCATCCTGTGGATGGTAGTGGCTAGTTTATTGTGTACCTCATATCCATCCTGTGGATGGTAGTGGCTAGTTTATTGTGCACCTCATATCCATCCTGTGGATGGTAGTGGCTAGTTTATTGTGTACCTCATATCCATCCTGTGGATGGTAGTGGCTAGTTTATTGTGTACCTCATATCCATCCTGTGGATGGTAGTGGCTAGTTTATTGTGTACCTCATATCCATCCTGTGGATGGTAGTGGCTAGTTTATTGTGCACCTCATATCCATCCTGTGGATGGTACCACAAGAACATATGGATACACAAAATGCCTAGGAACTAGACCCTCACAATATTTAAAACAAGATTATTACCCTTTAACTCTGGTTTTTAGAGGACGTTGGTATATGTTGGTAGAATTACCCACAATATGTAAAGTAAAAGGACACAAGTACAACTAATGTGACATTTTATTGTGGGAACGTTTCGCTCTCCAGGAACTTTGTCAAGCTGTTATAAACATACATAGACACAGAGGGTATATATATAGGCTAGAGTGAGGTGTAATGAGAACATAAGAAAGAACACCTGCAAGCACGGGGGGGGGGGGGGGCCTTACGGCCCATGCGAGGCAGGACCAAGTCTCCTACTGGCTTAAGCCAATGCACCTAACCTAGTCAGGTCAGGTCACATTCACTTAAGGAAGGAACACGGCAACTATACTAGTGGTAGTAGTAGTAGTAGTAGTAGTAGTAGTAGTTGTAACACAATATGGTAGACTAGTGTAGAACAGTTAACTTACACATGAGTAACGGATATAAAGGCTATAACTTGGGTAACATAACAATAGGTTAGACACATATTGGAGGCTGGATAGTGAAGGTCTTGTTACAGTGTTCATTTCTTTGGTAATGTACTTGTGTTAGT